TATATATGGTTAGAACAAGTACAGTCACTTGAGTAATATTGGTTATATGAGGAGTCAGTGAGGAAACGAATCTCACATGCACACAAGGGATGGAAGGGCCTTCTCCAAGGGGTGGGCCAAGGAGGTTTGGTGCCCACCACAAGGTGATTAATGCCTACTTAGAATATCAGTGCTGTTCAGCCCTAGGGGAAGCATAAGAGCTAGCAGTTCTTTTTCTACAGGTCTGGCCCTCCTTGAAAGCCTTCAGCCACAACTGTGCTCTGCATTGACCCCTGGAGGGGCCAGCCCTGACTCACTACAATCTTTCTACCTAACTTAGTTACCTAAAATTCTCTTCCCTGCCCAGAGCTTCACAAAGCTGTAAGGTGCCCAGGAATCCCTGCAGCAAAGCAAGCTTGTTCTGCAAGCTGCCTGGTGTTTCCTAAACATGATTTTACTAGAAATCCCTGCTTTCCTCTCTGTTCCTAGGAGCACAGAGCAGACATGCGATTTAATCCATGAGCTGCAAAACTCTGAGCATCAGCTACCCTTGGGGCTCGGCTCCCTGTGCGTGCGGAATGTCTTTCCTCTCTTCAGCCTTGTCTTTGACTTGGATCAGCAACAGTCCTGTGCTTAATCTGAATCCTTTTTGCTTCCTCTTATCAAAATCCTCACAGATTTTCCCTATCTTTACATATCTTACACTCATGCTCCTTAGAAAAGGCACCAGCTGGTGGGGGGTGTGTGTCGTCCTCGCCTTCAATCCCTGCACTCCCAGACATAGCCAAGATGTTTGCAGGTGACACAGGCTTGAACCCAGTCTGGACAATTTAGTAAGACATATCCTAAAATAAAAAATAAAAGGTTGGGGTGTAGTTCAGTGCGAAGGCTCTGGGTTCAGTTCCTAGATCCTTCACACACACACACACACACACACACACACACACACACACACACACTCCCCTTTCCAGTTCCTTCATTCTTAGGCAATGTGTAAGGCAGGGATGCGCCATGACAAAACCTAAATGCATGCATCACTGGGTGACGTCACACAGGCACTTGCTCTTGCAGTCTGGAGGCTGAAGGTCCAGGATAAAGCTGTAGGGAAAATCAGACAGGCAGAAAAAGTGCAAGGGCCTCAGTGAGGTATCTTCCAAGCAAAGCTAAACCCCTGCTAGAGAGGGCTGGCAGGAAAGCAGTGCTGATAAGGTTTCTGCTGAGCGAGTCCTCACGCAGCCCTCTGTGCACAGGCACAAGCCTGTAGTCCCTCCTCAGAGGGACAGCTCTCCTGTTGGATCCGGGCAAATCCCCCCGATTTAACTGCACCTTGCAAAGGCTCTCGTTCCAAATGCAGGCTTCAGTGTATGAGTTTTAGGGAGACACAAATCAGCCCATGTGCTACAGAACAGTTTTAGGAAAATCTTCAACTTCTCAGCCAGGTGTGGTAGTGCAGGCCTATAATCCCAACACTAGGGAGGCTGAGACAGGAGGACTGACGTGAATTTGAGGCCAGCTTAGGCCAAATCACAAGACCCTGTCTCAAAGACAAAACAAAGCAGGAAAGGAAAATCCTCAACTTCTCAGATACCATCTCCTCTATTTTTTTAAACTTACACTGGTTTGCAAAGTCTCACTTCTGAGCCAGATGATGTGAAAACATTGAGTAATAGTTACTTTTTCTACCAAAGTACATTCATGTCACATACACATAGAACACGTAACAAAATGTGTTGTTACTCAAATGCATCTTTCTGATCTTTATGAGGTGATGCAACAGCAAAATCGCAAGCAGAAGCTGGCAAGGTTGGGGCAGTTTCTGGTGGGGCAGGTGGGCTGGAGAGATCTCACGAGGGGATTAGCAGCCTGTGATCTGCGGTAGGAAGGAAAACAGTATCCAAGAAATGATGAGGTCTAGGGCAGCCGAGGGGTGGGAAGAGCCTCACATCGAGGTGCACGGCTCACTTCCCAGCCAGTGGTGCCTGCAGCTCAGAGCAGAGTTCACTTTGCTCCGTGGCAGCCATGGCCTGGCAGGGTACAGCTGCTTAGGCCATGGAACAGAGAGCAGGGACGAGCCGGGGGAAGCATGTGCCCTTCCAGCACACATGATCCAATCACCTGGCTACCCAGGAGACATCTGGGGACATTTTAGGCCTGAAACATAACACAAGATTTCACTCCCTCAACATCACTGCCTGGATGTGGGTTCTGGAGGTAGGAGTAAGAGCTGAAGGTGGCCCAAGCCCAGTACACGAGGGTCAGAGTGGCCGTTCCCAGGCAGAAGAAGGAAATTAAGGACAAGTGCAAGAGCTCAGTGTTCGATTTCTAGCCTTAGGCACGTTGAGCGCCTGGTGCCTGCAAGCTGGAGGGACCAGAAAATCAGGAAGTGTGCCTGGCTCCCACAGGTACAGGCTGGGCTTAGAGGCATAGGTGACAGCTGTCCTCCTGGCCGGTGTTGGGCATCTGGGTGAGGGGAACAAGGGTGATTGTGCAGCTTAAGGAAAGACAGGCCAGTCAAGGAGACTGAGCAAGTCTAAGGTCAGCAACGTGAATGGTGCTGAGATGGAAATGGATGTGAGGAGGCTCTTCAGATCTGGCAGCTGTCCACATTCAGGGTCCTCCAGGCAGGCCAGCGAGGCCTTGCACAAATACGGCAGCGCTGGTCCAACAGGGCGGAACCGGTGGGGCCCAGGAAGGGGAATACTGGGGTGGCTTGCTTTTCAGAAAGTCTGGTCATTATGGAACGAAAAGGTCGCGGAGGGGAGTTGTTTATTTATTTAAAGGTTGTGAGCTAAGGGGGAAGAAAAAAAGGTAGGTAAAAAGAATAGATCTGATTTGATCTAGAAATTGTACATTTTGAGAGACAGTTTAAGTCACTACAAGGGGTACATATTGGCACCCCTGGGTGGTTTCAGGCTCCTTTACACCTCACATTTCCTCAAGATTAATTCATCAGTTGACTTAGATATAAAAAAAAGAGCAGGAATCTGATCATAGGATAAAGGAATAAGAGTCCAAAGAATACTTAAATTATCATATTCAGACGGTTCACACCTGTAACGGGCCAGCACCGGTCCCGGGGCGAGGGGCAGGCCAAGTCCCCGGCAGCTTCCGCCCCTCAGGAGCAGCGTACACGGTCCCCGCCTGGGTCCCCGGACGCGGGGCCCCTCTGCCCTGGGCCAGATCTCTGTTGCACCCGGGTGAGCTTGGGTGGGACCTCGGGGACCCTAAGTTTAGTTCTAGGGAAAGCATAGGAGGGAGGAAGGAGCACGCTGCCGGCACCTAGAGAACGCAGCCCGAGAGGAACTGGGGATTTTATTAGAATGCGACTAATAGTAAAGGAAAACCGGGCGCCTGCGCCGCAGGGAAGGAGGCCCGGCGACTGCCTGGGCAGTCCCCGGAGTGTCAGCAGCCGGATTCTGCTCGGGCGGGCAGGGGCAGTCGGGGCCCCACTCTCCACGCGCACCCGCTCCCCGGCTCCCATCTACTTGCGTCCCCGGCCGCCAGCCACACAAGGCCTCCGCGAGACCACCAATCCGGCCCGCCGGCCTCTTTCTCGCCCTCCAATGAGTTTCTAGGGTGTGGTCATCACGCCAGACGCGCTCGCTGCCGATTGGTCGGCGTCTTCCTGGTGCGAGCGGTCCTGCCCAATCTGCGCCTGTCAGTCCACTCCGCGAGCCTCGGGTAACGGCGAGAGCGCGGACGGCCAGTTCAGCTGGGCGGGAGGTGGGCGGGGCTCCGCCGTGCCGGTCCCGCCTTCCCGCGCGCCCCGCCCCGGCCTCCCCCGCGTCGGCCTCATCCCCGCGGGGGTCAGCGGCGGCGGAATTCCCGTAGCTGTCGACGAGGCTGCGGTCGCTGCCGCGCAAGGATGGAGTTCGTGAAGTGCCTGGGCCGCCCCGAGGAGTTCTACAACCTGCTGCGCTTCCGCATCGGGGGGAAATGGAAGGTGATGCCCAAGATGGACCAGGTAGGCTGAGCATCCCTGCGTCCCGGGCGGCGGAGGCTACGCGGCGGGCGCGGACCCTCGCTGCCGCCTCTCGACTGCCCCGCCGTGGACTCCGCGTCCTCCACGCTGGGTCGGCACACCAGCGCCAGTGGTGCTGAGGCCCCGGCCGCGCTCTCTCGTCTCCGCGCGCCCTCGTCTGAATCCCCGGCGCGGCTGCCGTACCCGAAGCTCGGGCCGCGGGTGCTACTGGTTCGCCTGTAGTCGCGGGGTGAAACCCTTCCCTCCCCTCCCCCTCCCCCTGTTACCCACTCCCCACCTCGGGCGATCGCACCCGCACCTGTGCCCATCGCTGCTCCTGGCCACAACTTGGTTTTCTTTCATCTGTCTTGTGCCTGTAGGCACAATGAGTGCTTCTGGAGATGGCTATCGCAACAAGAAAAGTATCAGTTTTTGCAGGAAAAGGTGTCCTTTTGTCCAGTTAGTGCACTATGTCCAAAGCACCCCCCCCATGAAAATGCCACTCAGATGTCATTTAGATATATTTTTAGTTTCCTTTATTAAAACACTTTGATTTGCCACCATAAAAAAATGTTTTTTCCCCTTTTCTCATAACTCAGAAACCTTCCCACTCTTCAAGGTCCTATTCCTGCAAGGCCACCTCCTTGGTCATTCAGCAGACACTTGGTGAGAACACCTGTTTGCATGCTAGGGACGCTGTAGCGATAATTGTTCATGGACAACTTAGGCACTGCACTGAGATGCCCTTTCTGCGAACTTCCCTCAGCTGCTTCCAGTGATACTTTCTTCTTGTGGCAGGCCCACAGTTATAGATTGTGGCTATTTCTGTATTGTTATTATGTTCCCAGATTTATGAGTCTGTGTTAGATTCTTTTTTTGGTCTAGGTTCCACTGTGTACTTCAGGCTGGCCTTGAACTCACTTTGTAGCCCAGACTGGCCTCCAACTCTGCAGCCATCCTCTTGCCTCAGCCTTCCAAGTGCTAGGATTAGAGGCGTGGGCCATCACACCTAGCCTCTGTATTGGATTCTGGATGTAAGACTGTTTGAAGAGAAGAATCTTCTTTTGAAACGATGTATCGTTAATACCTTAAACACAAGGTCCTATTAATACATATGCGTATGACTTTATAATAAGCAAGAGTGCCCTCCAGAAGCTTCTAATTGTATACTGGGGATTGAATCCAGAGCCTTTTGCCCCAAGCTACATCTCCAGGCCTCTTTTAGGTTCATTACATTTTGAGACAGGATCTGGCTAATTTGCCCAGGCTGAATTTGGGGCCTCCAGAAGCACAGATTACAGGTGTGTGGCACCACACCCGTCTAGTCTTTTGAACAAGATAAACTTATTTATGGCGGAATATTAAGCACCTTAAAGGAACTTCCAGTGGGGGGAAATCACTTCATCCCAGGATAGAAGTTTAATCTCTTGAGCATTACCTAGAGGAAATACAGCTTTAAATTGCTTCTGTGCCTCCTTAAGAAATGCCTACTATTATCACTGAGAGCTCTGGTGCCAGACTGGCTTGGAATTTTTGCAAACACAAGCTGAGCATCTCTAATCTGAAAGCCCAAAACATACAGTGCTCTAAAACGCAAACTTTCTGAGCACTGACATAGTGCCATAAGTGGAAAATTCCATTCCAGGTCTTCTGTGGCAGGTGAAGGGCAAAACCTCCACACACTGAAAGGAGTACCCAAAATCCTATGTGTATGGAGTGTGATGCGACACCTGGCTTTCATGTTTAGTCTGGGGTCCTATTCCCGAGCCCTCTTGCAGTGGATATTTCAGGGTCCAAGTGTTTCAGATAGAGGACGCTCACCTGTGTCTGTTTTTGTGCATTTGGGGAGCGAAGCGTTCGTTCACTGTTAGCTTCTCCCAGGGACCTGTGGCCTGACACAGAGCTGTGCTGCTGTCCAGTGTGAGTTGGCTGCTCTGAACACTGCGGGACAGGTAATTCCGCACCTCTGAGGTTTCCGCACTGCTGGAGGTTTCTGTGGAAGGGAGCTGAATTTCCATTTTATTTTATTTTTCCTTTTTTGCCTTTTTGAAACAGGGTCTTGCTGTGCAGTTCAGGCTGGCCTTGAGCTTACTTTGTAACCTAGGCTGGTCTCCAATTCGCAAGGACCCTCCTGCTTCAGCCTCTTGAGTGCTGGCATTACTAAGGGAACTGAAATTGTGACCCTTCCTTTTACTGCTAGAGCCACAGGCAGTGCAGTGCTTGAAGGACTGTAGGAAAACACCCAGTTCTCTTAATCCCAGAGGCAAGTCAAGGGTTCTTCCGTCCTTCTGTCTTTAGTTATTCATCACTTCTTCCTGCTGGGCTCTGAAGTTCCAGGGGAAGGATGGCAGAGGATGGAGGAAAAAAAAGAGAAAGCTAAGGTCAGGGGGAACGCTCCCTCACTGAGAGGCAGTGACCGGCCAAGGAAGGCAGAGCACTTGCTTATACACTGGGGAGGCTGTTGTCATTTTCAGCCTGTACCTCGCAACTTAGCAACTTACCTGCAAGCTGGAACAGCTTGTTTACCTGGCTCCTCTCCACCAGCTTGTATCCAGCTTCAGCCTCGCCCTACAGCTCCCTACAATTGGTCATGTTACTCTTTCCAGATCTCTTACTGATCTGGTCTGTGTGTGTGTGTGTGTGTGCGCGCGTGTGTGCGCGCGCGCTTGCATGCGTGCATGTGTGAGAGACAGGGTCTTGCAATGTAGTGCAGGCTGTCCTCAAACTCATAGTGGTCCTCCTGTGTGCTGGGATTGGCAGGTGTGCACCACCACGCCAGGCTGCCCTGATCACTCTTTAAAGGCTGGTGTCCACAATCTCACAGTGCTTCAGCTGTGATCTGGCCACCCCGGAATTTTAAATTTCTTTCACACAGATGCTGTTATTTCTAACTAACATATGCTAAGATTGCATTAATTTAAAAATGCATTTTCTGGCTCTTCATTACTCTTTGAATT